ACGCTGTTATCTCCAGCTGTGACCTTTCCCACGAGCTCCAAATTCACACCATTCTTTGACGTCTCCACTTCTCTTCTCCATTTTGGTGTCTCAGATTTGACAATTCAAAACAGAACTCCCTCCCACTTCCAAACTGGTTTCCCGCCCAACTTCCCCAGGCCCCCCAGTTTCTCAAGTCAGAAATCTATGAGTCATCCTTGATGTTTGCCATTGCCTCATCCCTCCCATCCAACCCATTCATAAGCCCTTGGGAATCCACCTCCAGAAATGTCTCTGGAATCCATCCTCTTCTCTCTGCCTCCACTGCCAACCGCCTCTCACCTGCAATAGCTCGGAGGCAGCCTCCCCACTCCTTCTTCCTCCCATCCCCTCCCCTACATATTCCTGTCCCATCTCCACCCAGGAGCAAAGGAGATCTTCTTTAATGTAAATGACACAAATTATTCCCTTATAGTCCTGGGGGCCAAAAGCCGAAATGGGCTGGAGCCAAGGCAGGCAGGGCTATGCTGCTTGCAGGGATTCTAGGGGAGAATCTGTTTCCTGGTCTTCTTCAGCTTCTAGAGCTGCAATCCTTGGCTCATGGCCCCTTCCTCCACCTTCAAAGTCAGCACTGTAGCATCTTGCTCGGTGGTCACATTGCTTTCTTCTCCAGTGTCCTGTTTCCCTTTGCTTTACATTTTCCTGTAAATTTCTCTTACAAGGAAACTGCAATTGCATTTAATACTCATCTAGATGATCCAGGATAATTTTCCCATATCAAGACCCTTAACTGAATCCCACCTCCAAAGTCCCTTTTGCCACATAAGGCAACATTCATAGGTCCCAAAGATTAGGATCCACATATCTTCGGGAGCCACTATTGAGCCTACCATGCATATGAGGCTCCTTCCCCCACCAGTATCTTTGTACCTCTTGTTCCCTATGACTAGAACGCTCACTTCTTCCCTCTCACCCTTTGCTTGGCCATCTCTTTCTCATACTTGGGGACACAGCTTATCTGGCATCTCCTCAGACAACCTATCTTGGACCAATCCAACAGTCCGAAGACTTTTTTCTTTTCAATACAGAGTCTTGCTCTTGCCCAGGCTGGAGGGCAGTTGTGTGATCTTGGCTCGCTGCAACCTCTGCCTAGCAGGTTCAAGTGGTTCTCCTGCTTCAGCCTCCGGAGTAGTTGGGATTATAGGTACCCACTACCATGCATGGCTAATTTTTGTATTTTCAGTAGAGACAGAAGTTTCACCATGTTGACCAGCCTGGTCCTGAACTCCCAGTCTCAAGTGATCCACCCACCTCAGCCTTCCAAAATGCTGGGATTACAGGTATGAGCCACAGTGCCTAGCTGAAGACTTTTTAATGTCTTTTTCAACTGACTTGTTTTCTGCCTGCCTCTCCCTCTACCCTCACCTAGGCATCTTGAGGACCATATCTGTTTTGTTCATCCACTGGTCATCCTAATACAACTGGTTAATAAATCATTGCTAAATTTATTTATTTATTTATTTATGACAGTCATGCTCTGTTGCCCAGGCTGGAGTGCAGTGGCATGATCTCAGCTCACTGCAACCTCCTCCTCCAAGATTCAAGTGATTCTCCTGCCTCAACTTCCCAAGTAGCTGGGATTACAGGTGTGCACTGCCACACCCAGCTAACTTTTTTTTTCTTGAGATGGAGTCTCGCACTGTCGCTCAGGCTGGAGTGCAATGGTGCAATCTCAGCTCACCGCAACCTCCACCTTTCAGGTTCAAGCAAGGCTCCTGCCTCAGCCTCTCAAGCAACTGGGATTACAGGTGCCCACCACTACGCCCAGCTAATTTTTCGTATTTTTAGTAGAGATGCAGTTTCACTATGTTGGCCAGGCTGGTCTGGAATTCCTGACCTCGTGATCCACCCGCCTCAGCCTCCCAAAGTGCTGGGATTGCAAGCGTGAGCCACCTCACCCAGCCTTTTTGTTGTTGTTAGTAGAGACAGGGTTTCGACATGTTGGCCAGGCTGGTCTTGAACTCCTGACCTCAAGTGATCCCCTTGCCTCAGCCTCCCAAAGTACTGGAATTACAGGTGTGAGCCACCATGCCTGGCCTCATTACTGAATGAATTTAAAGATGACAAATTAACAACCCAATATGACGCTATGCAAATGGACTGCTGTGTGTAACTCCTGAGCAAAAAGAGACCCATCACCAACTTCCTCCTGATCTGCTATATCAAAAACAATGGCCTGGGCAGAACAGGGCACCGAGCACAAAGAAAACCCATAGACATGCTCCCACACAGGGCCCAGGGAGATGCCGCACCATCGAGTGAGCCAGACACACACAAAACCTTTGAAGGAAGTAGGATTTCACCTTGGTGGGTAGCCACCGGAGCCCTTGCTCATTCAGCGCATCTAAGTAAGAATTATATTAACACAAGGCCTGCATGGGAGGCTGCCTGCTGTGGAGAGCTGTATGTAAATCTACGCCATCTTTCTCCTGTTAAAGGCTCCTGGAGCCACTTTGAGGGACTCGAGGAAGGCCAAGGGGCTTTTTCACACGTGCTGCAGCCTCCTGGGTCAGGAGGCGTCTTCATAGCTGCAAACTTCACAGTAGGTTACACTTTTCCAAACCGAAGCTAAAAATGTTTTGATTGCCTGGCTATTTTCTAAGAATTGCCTTAGTCTTAAGGAATACATAATCAGGTTGAAAACATCATTTCCCCCCTTTGAATCGAAACTTGTGCTTTAAAATTTGACAAGTTTTAGGAATATTTTTATTTATTTATTTTTGAAATGGAGTTTTGCTCTTATTGCCCACGCTGGAGGGCAATGGTGCAATCTTGGCTCACTGCAACCTCCACCTCCCAGGTTCAAACAGTTCTCCTGCCTCAGCCTCCCAAGTAGCTGGGATTCCAGGCATGCACCACCACACCCGACTAATTTTGTATTTTTAGTAGAGACGGGATTTCTCCATGTTGGTCAGGCTGATCTCGAACTCCTGACTTCAGGTGATTGGCCCGCCTCAGTCTCCCAAAGTGCTGGGATTATAGGTGTGAGCCACCACGCCTGGCCGGAATATTTTCAGATGTTTGGTCACAAGGAAGATGGCTATGTTGACTCAATAGTTTATTCCCCTCTGATTATTTACAGCATAAAGTTCATGGTCATGTTGTCTATAAAAGTATAAACTTGGGACAATAAAACAGTGATTTATAAATATTAACCCATTTTCACACATCATAATGTTTAAAATAATAACATTTGCACACAAAGGCTTCAACATGCATCATTTTGAATAATCCAGGAAGTCATTTGCTTAGAAGAAAGGGCCTAATTTTGCTCCTGGAAGCTTTCAATCCATAACTGTACATCCTAAAGCATTCTGGCACAAATGAAATGGAACTGCCTCTTGTGGGTCTATTTCAGAAGTCTGTTGTCAGAGTTCAGTTCACAGGCATCAACCAGAAGCCTAGTGGGGCCGTTTGAAATTCTGGCCCAGATTAATATTTTAAAGCTGCATTTGGAGCTTTTGAAAGTGGAGCTGTTTCCAAAGGCTTAACTGAGGAGTAATTGATTTCACTGGAAATAAAAGGCCACGTGTGATCCCAGCTGGAGTGTGGTCATATTGTTCTTTCAAACCTAGAATGTCTTGGGGGAACAAATGGCTGGCCTGTGTCCCCTTCCAAAAATGTCTTAAGCACCAGAAAGGAGGGCAGGCTTAGGTGTAGCTCTTCCCACCTGGGTGCCAGGGTTGCGGTTGCTATAAGCGAAACATCAAAGCTGAGGTCACTAATATTCTGAATCTCAACCTCAGAGGACGGAGTGTGTGCAGGAGTCCAGGAGGAGGGGAGGAACCAAAGGTGGAGAACGGCCTGCGTGGATGAGTCAAGACATGGGAAAGTTGCTTCCTGAATTATGTGTTCTGTGTACTCCTCTTCATCAGACCAGTGGGAAGAGGTCTTTTGTGAGAGTCCAGGTCTCTCCGACAACAGGTACTCTGTTAACAGGCACATCCATGGGCCTCACTGACCCTCATGGGAACCTGGGAGGATCAGCAGGGACCAGCCCAATACCAAGTGGGAGGGGCTGCCCCTCTTGTACATCCTGGGATTGAATCTTGGGAAGAAGTCAATGGCAAAAGTAGGCTTGAGAAAAGTCTGTCCTGGAAGGCACTGATGCTCCTTCCTCTGCCAAAATAAAGGTGACCTACGGTGTTCCCCGAAAACAAGTTCAGCCTTCAGCAGGACGGGGCTCATTTTGAAGAGGCTGCCATCAGATGTCACTCAGCTTCTGAGGCCCAAGTTCACAGCTTGCTAACAAACACAATGTGGTGAACATCTGCCCAGAGACTTCAAAGCAAGAGTCTGGTGTCCCTGCAGCTGAGCTTGTCAACCTCCTCTAGAGAGAAAGTGTTCCCTCGGAGCCTAAAGGAAATCAAGTGAAGAGAGGTTGGAGTGAGGACAAAATTAGAGCAGGGCTTTCAAACAGAAGCCTCTACTTTCTAAACCCACGTCTGGGATGGGCTGACCCTTTGGCCCAGCTGCAGTGTCTCTTGCAGGGAAGCCGGGGCTGTTTTTACCTTCGGTCAACCAGGGCAGCTCATGAATCATTCTGAACAAGGCTCCATGACTCTGCAGAGAGAGAGTCCACCACACTGCCCCCAGCCAGCCACAGACTCCCCAAGGCCGGTGATTCTTTTTAAGGCAACCAGAGAATCTGTCAAGAATGCAATGAGCAAACCCTGGTGCCCTCCCAAGTTCCATCAACAGGCAGCAAATAACATCAGAACCCTTAAAATATCAACCTGATATTGGCTGGTGCCCAGGACACAGAATGTGATGTTTCTTAGGACTGTGCAATGCTTTCAAAAACAAAGAAACAGAAAACCTATGCTCTGCCCAGAACCTAATGACCTCATAGGCTACAGATATGTCACAATCACGCAGAAGGAAAAATCTCTCCGTCACAGCAGAGATATTTGAAGTCACTTTAAAAATGTTTATTTTTTTAAGAGCTGGGATCTAATTCTGTCACCTGTGCAGTGCTGCAGTCATGGCTCACTACAGCCTTGAACTCCTGGCTTCAAGGGATCCTTCCATCCAAGCCTCCTGAGTAGTTAGGAACTATACTGCACCCAGCTGAATTTTTTATTTTTTAAGAGATGAGGTCTGGTATTGAACATCTGGCCTCAAATGATCCTCCTGCCTCAGCCTCCCAAAGTGCTGGGATTACAGGCATGAGCTGCTGTGCCTGGCAAGACTTTTTTTTTTTTTTTTTTTGCTTCATTTGATAATCTGCATTTGCTGCAGCCTCGATAAGCTTTTTGAGAGGGGACAAGGCCTGCATATTTAAAGCAGGGGTCACAAGCTTACAGGAATGAATTGCCGAAGGGTCCTGGTCTAAGACAATAGGCTTGGTGGATCTGCAGTCAGCCAGAGCAGGTTTGCCCATCTGAGAAGACTCAGCCCTTTTTGTAATCTGGTTAACCACTGGCATCATGAATGGGCATCCAGAGTTCCAAGCTCTTTTGAGAAACCCTGAGATATAGATTTTTAATAGAAAAATTCCTGGCTTTTAAATATTAATCTCTAGCCCAGTGTCTGGAACACACATAGTAACATTCACTTATAGCACATTAGGCCAGGGAAAACCTTTACTTATTGTCTGAGAAATAGATCCCTGGAAACAAGAAGGACAAATCTTTAAAGCTGTGGCTCAGCAGAGAGAGTCCACAACACTGGACACAGCTGCCCAGACTCCCCAAGGCTGGTCATTCTTTTTAAGGCAACAACAGAATTTACCAAGAATGTGATTCTTGCCTTTTTCAAATACATGAAGGACTATGGCTTTAAATGTAGAGAATTGGATACACTGTGCAATCCGTTCCTACGCTTTGTAAGCTCCATTCAGAACCACAGAAAGTCTGATACAATATCCTTGATCTGTGAAGGCAGATGCAGTTCCCAGGAGGGCAGGAGCTGCCTTTTCATTCTTCAGCCACATCTCCATTCCTACACTATCTCGTAGAACAGAGAAGTTGCTGAATACATAGTCAAGATTTTAAAGTGAAACAATTGCTCCCTACTTAAAGAAGTAAAGGCTGCTTTCTTAGACAGAGAACCAGATCCCTCACATGCAGAATCATTCTCACTGAATGTCAGAATCAGAAGGGATCCTTGAAACTCTGCCATTCCTCTCTCCCATCACCCCATTTTACAGATAGGAAAACTGAGGCTTGGAGAGCTACAATAGGCCTGCCCAGGGCCTTACCAGACTTCCAAGATGGTGTCATTCCTTTCAAGGGCCTGCAGGAGGGCTTCTGCCCCTAGGTAGGTGATGCAGTTTTTGGACAACCTGGAGAAGAAGACAGAATGGTGAGCTTCAAGGATTCTTGGTTTTCCTCTTGAAACTGTCCAGTTAAACAGACTTTAGGAGTTAGCCAGCCTACTGAAGCCCACCTGTCCGCTAGACATACCCCACTCATGTCTGAGATTCCCAATGAGCTCAACAACAAAGGCTCAGTCACTTCAGTGAAATGTACCCATCTCTCTTCCATTCACCAGATGAGTTTATCAACTTAAGTAGTCACTCCCTTAGGATAGTGGTTAAGTATCTGCATTTTAGTGCTAGACTTCCTGGGTTTAAATCTCATCTACACCACTTCCATTTTGCTCTCAAGTATATTAGTCCCAATGTCCTCATTGGTAAAATGGGCCTAAAAGAGTACCCATGTCACTGAGCATAAGAATTGAAATTGTGATGGCCATAAGCAGGCTCCTGTTCATATCTGTCATCCTTTTGGCACAAGTCCCTGGCCACTAAGTCAGCCACCAGTGCCCCCATCATCTCCCCACACTCTGCTTGCTGGGAAGAACCTCCACTCTCTGCATACCTAAAACACTTACACAGAACTTGGTATGGTTTGGTTGTGTCCCCAGCCAAATCTCATCTTGAATTCCCACCAGGTGGAAGGTAATTGAATCCCATGCTGTCCTGATTATAGTAAATAAGTTCCATGAGATCTGATGGTTTTAATAAGGGGAGTTTCCCTGCACAAGCTCTTTTCTCTTGTCTGCCGCCATGTGAGATGTGCCTTTCAAATTCTGCCATGACTGTGAGGCCTTTCCAGCCACATGGAACTGTAATCCCAATAAACCTCTTCTTTCATAAAGTGCCCAGTCTTGGGTATGTCTTTATCATCAGCATGAAAACAGACTAATCCTGTACTTAATTGATAGAAAATAACCAATGAACAGTAGTATTTACATTTTCAGGGGAGTTTTTGAGGGCGCCGAGACAGAGATCAGAGAACATATGAGGTAGCTGGCAACAGGGAGGGGAGATAGGATAGGGCCAGGGACAGCAACAAAGGAGTCATGTGTTTCCCATGTTGCTCTTTTGCCTACCAATAATGTCCATTCCAGGTCTTCTTCCTTTCCCACAATCTTAGTAATGTCTTACAAGCTGACCATAAGGCGACACTAATCATAATAGCCAGTCGTTGTTGAGCTTCTATTAGGTTGGTGCAAACATTACTGCAGTTTTTGCATTGTTGAAATTTGTTGTTTGATATTGGAATACATTCTTAAATAAATGTGGTTATGTTATACATCATTTTAATGCATACTTCTCGTTTTATTTTTTTCTAATGAGCTTATTTTATATTTAGTTTAGTATGGAACTGATGTTAGACAAAAAGCAAATTCAAGCAATTTTCTTACTCAAGTTCAACTTGGGCCATAAAGCATCAGAGGGAACTCACAACATCAACAACCCATGTGGCCCAGGAACTGCTAATGAACATACAGTGCAGTGGTGGCTCAAGAAGCTTTGCGAAGGAGAGGAGAGCCTTGAAGATAAGGAGCATACTGGCCAGACATCCGAAGTAGACAATGGCCAGTTGAGAGCAATCATCAAAGCTGACCTTCTTATAACTCAACATTGATCTTCTTACTCGAGATCTTACAACTCAACGTGATCTTCTTACTCGAGAACTCAACGTCGACCATTTCATGGTCATTCAGCATTTGAAGCAAATTGGAAAAGTGAAAAAGCTTGATAAGTGGGCGCCTCATGAGCTGAGTGAAAATCAATAAAATCGTCGTTTTGAAGTCTTGTCTTCTCTCATTCTATGCAGCAATAACGAACCATTTCTTGCTCTGATTGTGACGTGTGATGAAAAGTGCATTTCATAGAACTGGCATTGATCAGCTCAGTGGTTAGACCAAGAAGAAGCTCCAAAGCACTTCCAAAAGCCAAACCTGTGCCAACAAAAAGGTCCTGGGCACTGTTTGGTGGTCTGCTTTCTGAATCCCAGCGAAACCATGAAATCTGAGAAGTATGCTCAGCAAGTCAATGAGATACACAAAAACCTGAAGACCTGCAGCCAGCATTGGTCAACAAAAAGGGCCCAGTTCTTCTCCACAACAACACTTGACCACACATCGCACAATTGGACTATGAAGTTTTGCCTCATCCACCTTATTCACCTGACCTCTCACCAAATGACTATAACTTCCTCAAGCATCTCAACAACTTTTGCAGGGAAAATGCTCCCACAATCAGCAGGATGCAGAAAATACTTTCCAAGAGTACATTGAATCCTGAAGCATGAATTTTTATGCTACAGGAATAAACAAACTTATTTTTTATTTGAGAAAAATGTGTTGGTTATAATGGTTCCTATTTTCATTAATAAAGAAGTATTTTAGTTATAATGATTTAAACTCGTTATAATGATTTAAAATTCATAGTTGAAACCCACAATTACTTTTGCTCCAACCTACAACTTACTTTTGTTACCTACATTCTCTCAGTGAATGCTCATGGCCTATAATGAGGGTCCAGCCATTATCTCCATTTACACTTGAGGCAACTGAGGCACTCATCCAAGGAGAACCAGCTGGTAATGGTGGAGCTGGGGCAAGACCCAGGCTGCCTGCTTCCAGAGCCTGGACTCTTAACCAACTGTCAGCAGAAACTAAGTCTGAAAAAGAAAGATGCAGGTATCTCTCTTTGTAAAAAAAAGATATATCAGAAGTTCAATTTTTGTGGGGGATGATATAGTTCAGGATGCAGAATAATAAGGCTGATGACAGGGTGGCATGGGACAACCCCAACCTCATTGCCTGTCATCCACCAGAGTCAAGTGGGGTAAGGCTGTGACAAGGGGGGGAAGACAAACTGCCACATCCATACCGGGTTGATAATGGGCCTGGTGTTCCGAAAGGCCCACCCTCAGTGCAAAGCTGGCATCTGGCACAGACACATAAGGGCTTCACCCCAACTTCTCAGCCCACTTCCACCCAAATCATTAGCAGAAGTGTTTTCTCCAAATATTTGGAAACTTCCTAGCTTGTGAAAGCAACACAAACAAGCATCACCAGAGTGGATGGCAGCCTGGCAGCAAAACTGGCACTCAGAAAGGCAGCTGTCTGTCTGTCTCTAAAGGCAAGTGTTTTCCTAGGGCCACAGTTGCCAAGGCAGATGCCACTTTTTTCCAGAAAAAGGGGTCATCTGATGGGGTTCCTGAGGTCTCCTTGAAATAAGAATTTTGGCATCAGCCTCAGAGAGCACCCCGACAAGCCCGTGATGGTCACTAGTGGGTTCATGCTCATCTCCGCTGTCCATCTCTCTGGCACAGGTCCCAAGCCACTGAGTCAGACACTGGAGAAGGCTACAGTGGTCCCCACCATATCACCTCCCCAGCCACTGCTTGTGGAGAAGACCTGCCACTCTCTGCCTGAGGCCGTTCTCCTGACCCCGAAAACATGTTCTTCTGGGTGACGGTGAGCTAGAAGTGCTGGAGAATCAGTGCCCCATGAGCACACATCAACACAGGAAGGATAGGTGGCTGGTAGATAAATATCAGGGCTTTCTTACCCCTTGGTTGGGTAGGTGACCAGGCGTGTTCTGCACTGGCTCCAGGAGTGCCCCAGAGTACTGAGCTCCAATTTCCCTCAGTGATAACTGGCTTGATAACTACCCTTTCCTGGTTACCTTCGTTTTCCCATCTCACTTCACCACTCTCCTATCAGCATTTGCTGGGCCCACCTCCCAGATAACAACTGGCACTGGAATCCTTGTCCACCAAGACCAAGGAAAGCTGTTCTACTAGGTCCCCTCATGTGAGTTACCCCAGCTGGGAGCTGCCCAGATCTGATTCAGAAATGCCCCTTCCAAAGGCCAGCAATTATTGTCCTGGCTCCTGCTTATAGGTTCCTTACTTCAGGATTTTCAAACTTGAATTTCTTTTCAGTCCTTCTGCGAGAGAACATACACCTTCATCCTGGAGATGGTTCTCCTCCAGGCTGTGAGAACAAGAAAGAAAATCCAGCTGATACGACAATGTTGATTATGGAAGATGATGTCTATAGATGAACTCACAGGCCCCCCATACAGGAAATCCAACATCTGACACCCCAAACTTATAAATAAAGAAATAACAGATAAAGTGCAGTGTGGGGATTCTCAATTCCAGGGACATATTTGCAAGAGAATTCACACCAAGGGCTCCACTATGTAATAAGTTCCCTCATCCCCCAGCTCCCCAATATCCATCTTTTCTTTCTTCTTCATTAATGGAGTCTCATTTCATTTGAAGAGCTATACACTTGGTGAAAATACTACATTTCCCACTCTTCATTGCAGCCAGGGTTGGTCAAACAACGTACACGTGGGTTGGTCAAGTGACATATACGTGGTTGATACATAAGGGGAAGTTGACAGGTGGGACTTCCAGGAATGCTTTTTAAAGGAGAGAAACCCAGATGGCTTTCCCAGGTATACAGACTGAAACCTGGAATACAGAAGTAGTGCTGCAGCTGGAGCAGCCATCCTGTGATCATGAGGCAGCCAACCATGAGAATAAAGTCACAGGCTAAGGATGATGGAGCAGAAAGAGAATGAGACAGAGCTGAGACCTCTTCTGGCCTCTTGTAGCTACTGTACAAGCCCTACACTGCCTACCTCCAGCTGCCTATACAGGAAAAAATAAACCCTTTCCATGTTTAAACCTCTGTAGACAGAGGTATTGTGTCACCGGCAGCTTCACATAGAGCTAAACTAAATTTGGCCTGAGACCAACTCCATACTTTGAGTTTCTATGTGGCAAACTGCAACCTAACAATGTATTCTTATAACAAACAGCTAACTGTCAGCCAATCACAGCAGCCAGACTTCAGTCTGTCACAGCCTGCCAGCTGATCAGACTATGTCCATATAAGGCAAATGCCTTATCACACCATGTCCAAATATGGCAAATGCCCAGCTGCAACCAATCAAGCTGTTTCTGTACATCACTTCCTTTTCCTGTCCATAGATACTGCTTGCCCCCACCTTGCTGAGTGGAGATCGCCCAGTTCTGAATGCTGTCGAATTTATAAACTGCTATATGCTCAAACCAGCTCTGCTAAATTTTATTTGCCTAAGGTTTTTCTTTTAGAGGTAATCATAACTGATGTTCGCAATAAGGTTTTCCTCTACTAAGAAATTCCAAGTAGCAAAATCCAATCAGGATAGAATCAATCACACTTTAGTAAAGCTACTAAGCCCTGCCACAGCTGAGGTCCATCTACAAAATCTGCTTATGGCGATGCCCATATGCTGCAGTGCCTTTCTGCTTCCAGGGAAAATCAAACATTCAGCATTTTATCTCCCCGATATAATCTGAAACTGCCCAGAACATGTCAGAAGACTATACTAGTGGTATCTAAAGGATGGGAAATGTAGAATCTGCTTCAGGTCAATAGTAAAAGCACAATTCATGGTTCCTCTTTCAACTATCAAAACTCCATTCCCCCTTCCAAAGTGACCCCTGACTCTAATACCCAGTGCTCTTAGGAACTCAAATGCACTTTAAAATAACAAAACTTTATTATTAGTGGTAGTCACAGTACTAGTAGTTGTAGCAGCGGCAGCTGTAATAACAGTAGTAATCCTGCCATTTTTCTAATTTCACATTTAAGGAGCATGTGAAAATATGCCAGGCACTATGTTAAGGTCTTCACAGGCACTACCTTATCTAATTCTTGCAAAAATCTTTTATAGTTGGAAGTATTCTTACCCTCGTTTTACAGACATGAAACTTGAGATTCTGAAATTGTTATTTAACTTGCCTAAGATCACAGCCTGCTTGATTCCAGAGTCTGTGCTCTTAACACTTATGTCATGTGGAGGCAGACATCAAATCAGCAAACCAACATAGGTTATTAAATTAAAAAATTAGCATGTACATACCAGGCTCTATAAGCTTCATATCACTCAGTACATATAAAGACAAACATAATCAATCAATGAATCAATCAGTCATCCATCTTTGTCTACCCACACAACTGTTCCTGTGGATAAGGCCAGGGGATCAACAAAGATTGTGCTCCATCTCCCCAGAACAGAGAATCCCCCAAACTCACCAGAGTTCTTCTAGCATGACGTTCTTTGCCAGCATCAGTGCTAAGCCTTGAGCACCCACACTGCCAATGTTGTTCCCCACCAGGCTGGAGGTAATCATGGAACAAAAACATGTCAGAACAGGGAAGAACCTCAAAGATAAGCTAACCTATGAAGGGAAAAATTCATGGCACCCTATTGGTCTGCTCCACTTCAAACATCACTAATTGGTTGCTGTGCTCTTTTCTGTTGTTATCCTTTTAAGACATCACTAATTGATTGCAGTGCCTTTTTTTTTTTTTTTTTTTACCTTTTTTAGACATCACTAATGGATTACAGTGCTCTTTAAGCCTGGGTGCAGCTTTAGAATTCCTCTTATTGTGGTTCACTGTGCAGCTACTACCAATGATTGGAATTGGTCCTTAAGATAAAATGTACCTGATCCACCCCAAAATCTTCAAGTTACAGATAATGAATCAAAACCCTGAGAAGACAGGGACATTTCCAAAGTCACCCAGAAAGACTCAGACTCCAGTGTTCTGTCTTGAAATCCAACGGTCTTTTTTATTTAGTCCATTGCCTAACATTTTGGGGTAGAAATAAAGTTCAAAGACCTTCAAAATTGGCCCCAGCTCCTCCCTCTTCATCTGATTTCCCCATGAAAACTGCAGAATAGATTCTGAAGCTTACCTGAGCCACCTCAAGCTCTGGTGATCACTCAAGGCTTCAGCCAGGGCCTGGGCCCCCTCATCACCCACTCTGTTGCCCCAGAACCTGAAAAGGCCAAAAGAATCAACACACGGTGTCAGTGAGTGCCTGATATGTGTTTTAGACATGAACTAACAGTCCTCCTCTCTCTGCAGTCCCAGCCAGAGGGGCAGGACCACTCAATCCCAGAGTGGCCTCACTGGGGCTCCTGGTCTCAGCAAAGTGGACCTGCCTCCATCTTTTGTGTAGGATGGCCAAACTTCACCAAGAGTTTTCAGTGGTTTTACATTACAGACTTAGAGAATAGTAGCTGCCTACCCAGCCCAAACCCTTAAGGGCAGGAACTGACAAGAATAATTTACAGTTGTGACACTTTTTCTGACACTTAGTTCAGATCTACTTCCCAGTAACTGCCACTCGCAAGTCCTTAGCACCCCTCCAGTACCTGCCCAGAACAAGTCTAATGTTTCTTCTGCAAGCCAGCTCTCTATCTCCTGCTTCTTCCTAACACCCCCAATTCCTTCATGTCAAACTCCCTCAGCTTCTGGGCCATCCTCCTCTGATTCACTGCAGTTCAAAAACATCCCTTTCCAAAAGGTAGAGCCCAACTCACACCTTCTGACTCATTGACTAGGTATGTGCACAAGTTAGCAAAGGACAGCTGAACTAGGAAGTCCACTGCACTTTCTTTTCTTTCTTCTTTTTTTTGGATGGAGTCTCACTTTGTTGCCCAGGCTGCAGTGCAGTGGCATGATCTCGGCTCACTGCAACCTCTGCCTCCCAGGTTCAAGCGATTCTCCTGCCTCAGCCTCCCAAGTAGCCTGCCACCACCCCTGGCCAATTCTTGTATTTTTAGTAGACATGGGGTTTCACTCCATTGGCCAGGCTGGTGGTCTCAAACTCCTGACCTTGTGATCTGCCCACCTCAGCCTCCCAAAGGTCTGGGATTACAGGCATGAGTCACCACGCCTGACCTGCACTTTCATCCATCAGGTACTTATTTATTGAGCCCTGGCTATGTGCCAGCACTGCTCTGTGTCCCAGGGATATGCCACTGTAATAGCAAAAAACCTGAGAACAATAGTCTTCAAAAGCTAACCAGTTAAATAGATTATATAACACTGTGCATTCTTTAAAAAATGCAGTCAGGCTGAGAGAGGTGGCTCACATGTATAATCCTAGCACTTTAGGCACTCAAGGAGAGAAGATCACTTGAGCCCAGGAGTTTGAGACCAGCCTGGGCAACACAGTGAGACCCCATCTCTACAAAACACAAACATATTGGCCAGGCATGGTGGTGTGTGCCTGTAGTCCCAGCTACTCAGGAGACTGAGATAGGAGGACAGCTTGAGCTCAGGAGTTCAGGGCTACAATGAGCTGTGATTGCAACCACTGTACTCCAGCCTGGGTGACAGAGCGAGACCCTGTCTGTAAATATTAATAAAATAAATAGGTAAGTAAGTAAGGAGTCATAAAGACCTAAAAAATTTCCTATAATATACTGTGAAGTGAAAAAAAAAAAGGCAAGCAAGTTACAGAACACTTTGTATCATATACAGTGTTTGGAGGTTTTAGCACAGTGCCTGGCCCAGACAGGTAGCCTAATAAATATGTGTTGAAAGAGGTGGATACCCCCGATGTGGCAGATGTGACTTGAAGTAAAAGAGAGCTCAGTGGGGCTGCGGCCTCCTTTATTCTAGACTCTGTTGCTACTAATGCAGTGTGAAAAAGATGCTGATTTCTAGAGCCACCTAGTCCCATTCATGGTTCAAACTGAGCTTGGGGGCCGGGCACCATGGCTCATGCCTGTAAACCCAGCACTTTGGGAGGCCAAGGCTGGCGGATCACCTGAGGTTGGAATTTCAAGACCAACCCGGCCAACATGGCGAAACCCTGCCTCTACTAAAAAATACAAAAATTAGTTGGACATGGTGGTGGGTGCCCGTAATCTTAGCTACTTGGGAAGCTGAGGCAGGAGAATCGCTTGAACCAGGGAGGTGGAGGGCGCAGTGAGCCAAGATGGCGCCATTGCACTCCAGCCTGGGTGACAGAGTGAGACTCGGTCCCAGGACATAGGAGTAGGCAAGGACTTCATGAACAAAACACCAAGAGCATTGGCAACAAAAGCCAAAATAGACAAATGGGACCTAATGAAACTCCACAGCTTCTGCACGGCAAAAGAAACAGTCACTAGAGTGGATCGGCAACCAACAGAATGGGAAAAAATTTTCGCAGTCTACCCATCTGACAAAGGGCTGATATCCAGAATTTACAAACAACTCAAGCAGATTTACAGGAAAAAAACAAACAAGCCCATTCAAAAGTGGGCAAAGGATATGAACAGATACTTTACG